TGAGTTTCAAGTTGCCAAGTTTGAGACTCGAACCATGGTTGGCCATGTGGGAGTCCAGCACCTTAACTACTACACCACCTACTGGCCCCCAAACATGCATAGTTTTTCATAATACATATTTTTCATGAATTTTGAAGACCTCTCATGGGACTACCTGTGTAGGTGTGGCTGGGGGAGTGGGTGACCCCTCCTCCATAGCATCTGGAGACCTGGATTGAGGCAGGAAGTCAGGTGTGATTGAAAACAAGAAGCAAACCATGACTGCAATGGAAATAATGGCTGGGGTGTAGAACACAGAGCCTAGAGAGTTTCCGCCCACAGGGCAACCTGCACCTACTGAAGAAGGGAGATCAGGCCCTCCACCACTGACCATGGTCGAAACTAACAAGTTGGCCCATGTCTCTCTAAGGCCAAAAGTAAGTGTCTAAACCCAAACAGAAGTCCTTCGTTCCCATGTTCCTAAAAACCTTAGAATTACAAAGGTAATGTAAACATTTATTTTAAAAGTAAACAATGAAAATTGAAAATTAGAATAGGCCAAATATTTCCCAGGCAGCAGGCCTGACCTGCTACACATTCTTGGAGTCTGGTTTCAACTCGGCCCTCTCTGTAACTTGGCCAACCTTTTCTTCATTTCTCCTTGACTTCCCAGCACATTCCACACAGCTCCACCCTCTGAGCCACAGATGCTTCTCCCAGCTGCTCTCTGCTGCAGACTGTCGCCATGCTTCCTATGACACCCCCAGATGCTACCTTGACTGGTTCCAGCCTCAAATACCTCCTGCTCAGCACGCTCCTCTGAGTCTGTCTTCCTGCCTATCTAACTGTCTGTTATCAGAGTTGTGGGTGGCCTGAGAAAAACTGGGGCTGGGGAAGCCGTAGAAGGTACTGGGGAAGGAACAGGCCTGGGGTCCAGCCAGGGACCAGTAGCTCGTGGGAAAGTCTGAGCTGAGACACACAAACTGGCTGAAGTTTGTTCAACTAAGATTATCTAAGTCAGACAGACAGAAAAGGAACAGGCAAAGCAATATTCAAAGACCAAGCCACAGTCGAGTTAGGCAGAGCACAGAGACTAGACATCCACTTCCCTGCAGGTACATGCCCTGGAAGTTCAAAGTTTGAATGTTGTCATTGGGCAGTGCTGGGTTCGAGTACTGGCACTGGCGTTCACCAGCTGTGTGATGTTGGATAAGGGTAAGTTACCATCTCCCCATTCTGAGGACGAGGATGAGAATGGAGACAGGGATGAGAGAGGTGACACCCAAGGACCAGGCAAGCCTTCAGGTCTGAGAGGCCAATCCATCCACAAGGGGTTTTCAACAAGTTTATGGGAAGTGCCTATTATGAAAAAACTATGCAAGAATTTCAATTCTTTTAAGACTTGTTTTATTTAACTTTATTTATTTATTTTAATTTGACCAGAGAGAGACAGAGTGAAAGCAAGAGAGAGAGGAGTGAGGAGAGAGAAAGCCAGTCACCAGGTCCGAGACTCAAAATGCCGTCAGCCATGCGGGAGTCCAGCTTTCTTAACCACCACGCCACCTGCTGGCCCCACGAATTTCCATTTTTACTGGCATCAAAATAAACTTGTACTATGATTCCATTTTCCACAAACTTTCCAAAGTCGCCTCACGTAGGTAGAGGCTGTCAAGGGCAGAGCCCAGCACCTGGCCCAGGCTCCCCCACGAAGGAGGGGATGCATATTCCCGTATGCACAGGCAATAACATCAGCTCTGCTGGAGCGTTTGCTGCCTTTTCAGGCTTGCTTCCCGTCTACTTCCTCACTGGCCTGGCCAGGGCGCACTCCCGGGTGACAGTGCTGGACGCCGTCTGTGTCCCAGGCCGGGAGCAGTCTGCAGAGTCCTTTCCTGTGCCCTCCGCCCCACTCCCCTCCCCGGCCTCTCCCAAGCAGCTTCCCTCGGCCCTTCTCATTGGCTTTTTCCAAATCCCCTTCCCACTACACCCCTCCCTCCCTTTCTACTTGAAACATCCTAAGTACCCCCTTCCCTAAAGCATTCTTCCCTTGACCCTGAGCTTCTCTTATGTCTATTTTTCCCCTTTTCTCTGCCAAAATTCCCCAGGGCCAGCCTGGACCAGCGGCTCTCTGTCCTTGCTCCCCAAGGTCCTGCAGCCTGGGGCGTCCTCATGGCTCTGGAGAGAGGGAGGAGCAGAGGGCCAGGCCCTGAGCAGAAGCACCACCATGGAGGGCTCTAGAAAGTGCAGGTGGGCACACACACCAAACCACAGACACATGGGCACACACGCCAACACACACAGACACACACACAGAGACATCCACACACACAGACACACACACACACGGACACACAGAGACATGCCAACACAGGCACACACATATAGAAACACACACCAACACACAGACACACCAACACACAGATGCACACACACGAACACACTGACAGACACACAGACATGCACATCAACACACAGACATACTGACACACAGATATACATACACACACAGACACACCAATACACAGATACACACAGACACACCAACATACAGATGGACAAACTGACACAGACACACTGACACGCACACCAACACATAGACATACTGACACACAGACACACAGACACACCAATACAGATGCATATACACATGGACACACTGACACAGACACACAGACACACCAACACAGATGCATATACACATGGACACACTGACACAGACACACTGACACGCACACCAACACACAGACATACTGACACATAGAGATATACATACACACACGCAGACACACTAACACACAGATACACACAGACACGCACACAGATGCCCACACACACACTGACACACACCAACATAGATACACCAACATGCAGAGATATACACACACACATAGATACACTGACATATAGGTATATACACACATTCAGGCACAGAGATACACATATAGACAAAGACACACACACGCACTAACACACACATATAGAAAAACACACACAAAATAGATACACACTCATAGATACACGTAGACATGCACACATAATAGACACCCACAATAACACAGAGACACAGACACACACACATACGTGCATAAATATGCATGCACATACACACAACACACACTAGCCCATTCCAGTCTGCAGCCAAGGGGCTCTCACCCATCAGCAAAGATGAGGAGGGAACCCCGCGCCCATTGTGGGGAGACCACACAGTGCTCACGTGAGACTCAGAGGGCAAAGAGAGGGTCATAAATGGGCTCCACCTGGGGCGGTCCAGGATCTCAGGGGCCTGAGCGATCTCCAGGTGGGGCAGAGACTGACTGTGCTCCACACAAGCCCCAGCCACAGCCCGGGAGAAATCCCTGAAGTAGCATCAGGAGTGGAGGGGCAGGGGAGGGAGACTGTGACCTTGGGACCCGGAAGCCCGCTGCGCAGAACACAGCCCTCCAGCCTCAGGCCGCTCAGTGAGCACCTCCCAGACGTGGCAAAGTCTAGATTTGAACCAGGAACTCTGGCTTCCCATGTTCATAACCTGCTTCCTTCTTCTGCTTCTATTGTACTGATCCCACGTGGCTCAAGCCAGAGTGAAACAAGAGCTGTAGGCTTAGAGAGAGTGGGGCCTAGGGGCCCTGGCCCAGGAAACACTGCCCGTGTGGGTGTCTGGGTGCTGGGCTCGCCTCTGCCTCACAGAGGCAAGTAGTGGAGAGCTGCTCCTCCCTCTCCTGCCTCCTGCCCCCCACCCCACCTACGCCAAGGTACCTTCACTGACCATAAAACGTCTTACTGCTGGTCATCGGAAAAGTCATGACGCATTTTGCATAGAAAAACAGAGAAGTAAATCATGACTTTTCCAACGACACAATCATTTCTGGCTTTATTAACTGACAAGATTTAGTTCTTGTTCTGAACTTGAAATAAGTAGCTTGAACATTAATTATTACTTTGTAGAAAGTCTGTTTGTTGAGTGCCTCTTAATTACTGTCTTCCCTGCAGATTCCCATAGGTTCTTTTCATTAAAAAAAAAAAAATCTTTTTTCTTTTTTTTGAAATACTTTTGCTATAGTGTTGTGCGCTCACTGGAAAGACAGAGAGAGACAGAAAGAGAGAAATCACCCCCCAGGGGGGATGGCCACACCGCAATCCCTTCTCCTCCATTCTCCTCTCAGGATCTTGGGCACGCACACACAATCTCCCACTGTGAGTTTCAAACCGCCAAGTCCAGGACTCGAACCACAGTCAACTATATGAGAGTCCCTCAACATAACTATTATGCAATTTCCTGGTCCCCCCCATAGGTTCTCTCTCTCTCTCTCTCTTTTTTTTTAAGAGAGACTTTTGCTATAGGGCGTGTGCACTCACCCAAGAGACAGGAAGTGAGAAATCAGCCCCCAAGGAGGATGACCATGCCACAATCCTTTCTCCTCCATTCTCCTCTCAAGATCTTGGGCACGCACTTACACGTGTCTAGTGTGAGTTTTAAGTCACTGGGACCGGGCTTTGAACTCTATGGTTAACTCTAGGGGAGTCCAGCAATATAACCATTACGCTGTCTGCTGGTCCTCCCCCCAATATAGGTTCTTAGTAACATAGGCATTTCCCAGTTGTAGCTGAGCCTTCCTTTGGCCCTGAGCTCTGTCTGGAAGCAAGGCCTCTGTGGGGACATGAGCCGCCCAGTTACACTGCCCAGGAGGGAACATGGGCATGTTTTTGTGTGTTTCTTCCATTTTACTGTTTAAGCAGAGCTGTCTGCCCTGACTGCACATAGAACCACCTGACCACGTTTATAAACATACCCCAAACCCAAGTCCTCTGCAGAGAATGTACATCGAACCCTGGGAGGAGTGTGGGACTTAGGCTGGGAACCACCAAAGGAAAGAAAGCTGGGGCACTGGGAATCCATTAACAAGCAGGAGCATGTCCTTCTCCAAAGGGCATGACCTCCTCCATGGTGAGCACGTGACCCTGAACTTCTCTCTCTGGGCATGTGGGACGTTCCAGGGTGTAAAACAGGAGCCAGCCCAGACTCTCACCTGGGACGGTTCTGTGAGTCCCCATCCTTCTTCCGCTATGGTGGCGGCTGCCCTGCCCGGAGCTTACTCTCTGTTTCTAGCTGTCCCCAGCGCTCTCGATTCCACTTCCCTGTTGGCCCTCTCGTTGCTGCTGCCAGCCATCCTCTCCTGGCTGCCCGGAGGTGGTCCAGGAACCAGGAGCCAAGGGTAAATGGGGCATTGTGACATCAGCAGTTGCCAGGCTTCCCCCCCCCTGAATCTTCCACCCTGTTCTCTTCCTCCTGGATGAGCTCTACTGGCACCAAAGGCACAGTCTTCAAACGGTTGTCAGAGGGATCGTCACTGTCCCCAGGCGAGAACACCTACTGTGCGCTGGGCCCTAGACCAGGACTTTGTGTTTGTGATCTCACCCGGGCTCCCTGAGAGTCAGGAGCCAATGAGATACTGGCATCCATCTCATTTCAACTGTAAGCTGGCCAGTTACAGAGAGAGGAGGCCAGTGGTCCATCCCTTAGTGACACTATCACCCACGGAGCCTATTCAAACACAGATTGGGGGCCAGCAAGTGATGTGGTGGTTAAGGGACTGGACTCACACATGGCCAACCACAGTTCAAGTCCTGGACCCAGTGGCTTGAAAATTACCTCAGGTGCATGTGCGCATGTGCCCAAAATCCCACGAAGAGAAAGGAGGAAAAGGAATCGTGGTGTGGCCATGCCCTCTGGGGGGGTGATTTCTCACTTTTCCTCTCTCTCTGTCTCTTTCTGTCTCTCTCCAGCAAGTACACACATCCTCTGGCAAAAACCTAAAATTTAAAATAAAAAAATATTAAAAAAAAACCACAGATTGGGCCAGGCGGTGCCGTAGAGACATGTCTAGACACATGGCAAATGTTCTGGGTTTGCATCCTGGGGCCTCCCTTAGCACACTAGGTAGACACCTGCCTGTGATCTGGGCCGCCTGAGACTGGGATGGACCCCTCCAGGAGGACCTTGTGGGGTTGCTTCTCTCTCTCTCTAATTGAAAAATTAAATTTTTTTTTTAAAGAAAGTACGGATTGTTGAGTCCCACTCCCAGAGTCTCCAGGTCAGTAGCTGTGAACTAGGACCCAAGAGTTTGTCTTGTTAGTGAGCTCTCAGCATGCTTCCAAGAAAAGATGGCTAAATGGGACAGAGAACAGAGAACTGTTATCACTAAGAGGCTATTCAGAATCAGCCCCCTTTCCCACCACTCCACTAGCCTGTCTTTTTTTGTTTTTTTTTCCATAAGGTGTGTGTACTTGCTGGAGACAGAGGAAAAGTGAGAAATCACTCCTCAAAGGGGTTGTCATGCTGCAATTTATTTACTTTTATTTATTATTATTGTTGATATTATTTTTTTACATTTGCTACCGGGCACACATGCTCAGAGAGAGAGAGAAAGGGAGAAAGCAAGTCACCAGGTACAGGACTCAAACTGCAGTGGGTCATGTGAAAATCCAGCACCTTTAACCACATGCCACCTGCTGATCGACCAGTGTGATTTTCAAGCCATTGGTCTGAGACTTCAACGTGGTCGACCATGTGGGAGTCCAGAGCCTGAACTGCCATGCCACCAGCTGTCCCCGTGACAATTACTTGTACCTCATAGAGTGTGCCCACAGCTAGAGGGTTCTGCACGTACGTTCCCCTCCCATGTCAACACCACAAGGTTACAGGCACTGAACCCTGAATAAACTCTGCTGATTCTGCTAGTTGATAAGGGAAACTTTTACTATAATCCTCAAACGATGTATGTGAAAATCAGCCCCTTGTCTTGCAGGCAGAAAGTCTACATTGATCTTTGATTGGTGTCTATATGCTCTGTTCTTAACATACATAACACCTAAGTGTGTGCGCCCTGACTACACAGATCACTTACTGAAGGCTATCAGCAATACATCCCATCCTGCTCTGCTCTATGTCAGTAAATAAACTTAGGTTTTCCTCTGCTGGACCTTCGAGTACATTCTTTGGTCTTGGTAAACATTACAGGCAAGCCCTTGCAGATGTAGGGCTCCTGCCTTACAATGGAGTAAAGAGCCATCTGAGAGGGACATCAGACTTACCACCTGCCAGCACACACAGACCTGCCTCAAGAGGCAATGATGCTGGGAACCAGCAGTTAGCGTAATGGCTATGTCGCTGGACTCCCACGTAGTCGACCACGGTTCACGTCCCAGACCCAGTGGCTTAAAACTCACACCGGGCGCGTGTGTGTGCGTGCCCAAGATCCTGAGAGAAGAATGGAGGAGAAGGGATTGCGGCGTGGCCATACCTCCTGGGGGGTGATTTCTCGCTTTCTGTCTCTCTGTCTCTCTCTGTCTGTCTGGCGAGTGCACGTGCCCTATAGAGAAAATCTCTCCAAAAAAAAAGAGGCAATGATGCTGAGTGGTCTGTTTCTACGTTGTGCGTGATAAGCCTAGAAAAGAAAATCTGTAGCCTAGGGCCAGTAGGTGGTGTAGTGGTTGAGGCACTGGACTCCCACATGGTCAACCTTGGTTTGAGTCCCAGACCTGGTGGCTCGAAAATCACACTCTGTGTGTGTGTGTGTGTGTGTGTGTGTATACATGCTCAAAATACCCCAAGAGAATGGAGAAGAACTGCAGCATGGCCATTCCCAGTGGTAATATCTCTCTCTCTTGCTCTCTCCTCTTTCTCCCTCTGTCTCCAGCAAGTGCACATGCCTTATGGTTTAAAAAAAAAAAAAAAACTAAGGAAAAAAGAAAGAAAGAAAGAGAATCCATAGCCCGAGTTATTTTCCTCCCACAGGGATTGCCTGGCCTTGTTGGCTTGAGAGAGGTACATTTTTGCCTCCTCTGTGGGCAGCAAATTCCCCACAACTCAGCAGGATGTGCATCTGGGCTCACCACCAGCATCTGCTGGCTGTGAGAAACGGCCACGGAGCAAGTGTGCAACGCAAGCCTGGTGCTGGCCAGCCTGCAGACGCCCATAGGACTCGGGGGCTTGGCCTCAATGCCTCTGGAGTCCCTCCGTGTATCTCGCTGGCTTCACCATGGCCACACCTTGTGACCTCTGAAAGCAGGTGCTGAGCCTGGCCCTGTCCCCTCACTCGGGGCAGAATGAAGCAAGTAGCTGGGAGTTTCAACTGGCCCTGGGTTACTCATGCACACACCCCATTCCAGGTACTGCTGTCAGCTCTTTTTACACACTAACTTACTAAGTATTTAAAATCTTCAAGGAAGAGACCATAAGCGGCATGGTGGTTAAGGCACTGGATGCCCACATGTCCAACCACGGTTTGAGTCCTGGACCTGGCAGCTTGCTTCCTCACTAATTCCCCCACCCCACATCTGTCTCTGGTGAAGGCATATGCCCTGTAGCAAATTTTAAAATAAAAATAATAATGATAAATAAAATTAAATAAATAATTCTTTTTAAAAAAATATCTTCAAAAGGAGCCAGCAAGTGGTGCAGCAGTTAAGGGCACTGGTCTCCCACAAGAGTAGACGTTGGCTCCAGGTTGCAATCCTACAAATAAGGCTCCCCTTCCTTGCCACCCACCCCTGTGACATTGATTTTCCCTGAGCTGTGCCCCGTGGCTCTTTGACCATACTCCTTTCAGTGGGCTTACACTGAATTACAGTCATCCGTGTGCCTCTCAGACTACACCTCTTTGAATAATTCACCTCCGTCATTGCCAGTCTTCACTGAGAACTCATCGGCCATCAGGCAACATGCCAAGAACTTTACATCTATTGCCTCACTTTGTCCCCACAACTGCGATAGAAATTAGGTACAATTTTTTATTCTCCATTTGACAGCTGAGGAAACCGAGTCCAAGAGGGGTTGAATAATTTGCTCGAGGTCACACAACTAGCATCGGGCTGGGCAGGATCTGAGCCAGGGTGTGCCCCAAAATATCCTTACTTAACTAGCATTTTATTTTGGAAGACAGGATTGTATTCTGCTCCTCTCTGGAGATTCAGTACCTAACACTATAGCATAAATAAAGAAAAATTAACTCAACAGTACTTTATTAGGCAACTATGAAATGCAAACTTTCTCTCCCCAAATTCTATAAAAGCAATACAAGGAGTTATTTTCATTACGCCTTTTCTGACCCACAATTTTTTTTCTAGAAAAATAACGACTGTCAGGGCTGGCAGATGGCCCAATGGGTAGAAGCTCTGGATTCCCATATGGCCGAACACAGTTCGAGTCCTGGATCTGGTGGCTTGTTTTCTCATTTTCTCTTCCTCTCTCTCTGTCTCTCTCTCTCTCTCTCTCTCTCTCTCTGTCTGGTCAAATTTAAAAATAATAATAGAATGAAATAAATAATTCTTAAAAAAAAAAAAGAAAGAAAAAGAACTCCTATGTGGCTAAACATGGAGCTAAGAGACAGTATCCAGTCACAAAAGACCCACTACAGTAGAAGCTCTGGATTCCCATATGGCCGAACACAGTTCGAGTCCTGGATCTGGTGGCTTGTTTTCTCATTTTCTCTTCCTCTCTCTCTGTCTCTCTCTCTCTCTCGCTCTCTCTCTGTCTGGTCAAATTTAAAAATAATAATAGAATGAAATAAATAATTCTTAAAAAAAAAAAAAGAAAGAAAAAGAACTCCTATGTGGCTAAACATGGAGCTAAGAGACAGTATCCAGTCACAAAAGACCCACTACAGTAGGATTCCATCTATAGGAAACATCCAGAAGAGACAATTCCATAAAGATAGAAAGAGTTGCTTTAGGAGTTGAGGAGGATGGAAAGGTTGAGGGGTTGAATGCTAAAAGCTATAAAGCTTTTTCTTAGGGTGATGAAAATGTCCTATAATGTTATTGCGGTGATGGTTGCACCATCTGTGAATATTCTAAAAGCCATTGAATTGTACAATTTAAATGGGTAGATTATATGGAATGTGAAGTATATCTCGATGAAGCTTTTTTAAAACAATATCTACCGAATTATCTTTTCCCAAATAGATACTAGAGGTCAGATGTGAAAGGTCATAGATAAAAGATACAATACAAATAATAAATGATAGATTTGATAGCTATCTAGGTAGATCAATGTCTAGGTAGATGATGCATAGATTTAGACATCAGTTTCCTGTTTATTTTTTCTGCATATTCTTTTTTCCAAGACCATCAACCCAAGAGAGCAGAAGACCTATCAACAGATCACAAGGCTTAATTAGTTGTTAGGAAGATGGCAAGCGGCAAGGAGAGAATATGGAACAC